GTTAACATTATAAATAGAAAGTAAAGTTGACTCAACTAATCTTGATTATCAACATCAGATTGAAGACAGTAAATTGGCAAAACCTATTTAAACTTGTCTAACAATACAATAAGCACAATGACTTGGTCTGTTGTATTTTTTTTTTTTTTTCAAACATGGTGTTGTTTTGTATACAAAATGCTTTTACTTTTTGAATTCTCTTTGTTAAAATATATAATCTTCATCATCATGATTGTCAAAGTTACAGGATGATTAATGAAATTTAGTAATAAATAACTAATAAGCTGATTTCTTAAGAGTCAGCAATCAGATACTGCTTTTGATTTTTTGTTTAGAATAAAAATTATGACAGGACTTCATTGGCATTTCCAAGATTACAGATATGACTTCTATTATTGGAAATTGTTGTTAAGCTTTATAATTTTAGTAGAGAATTCTAATTTACCTAGTTGCAGCTATAACATAATTGTGGAATTTTATCGTATATTTTAATAATGTACAGCGTGTGCTGCTCAAAAGTACCCAATTTGATTTGGCTATAAAAAAATTAACAGTTAAATATCTCTAGGTGTACTCCAGCAGTCACATTGATGACATCAAGGTGGTAGGCAATTTCCTACTATGTATGGTGCATCATGTCCTGTCTCACAGTGGCGATAGCTGCAATGATGCACTCCAAAGATTTCGAAGGTCTCTGACTGAGATAGCACGAACCACATTTTTCTCATAATCCCATAGAAAGAAATCTAAAGGGGTCAGATCAAGAGTCTCAGTGACTACATTATTGTTCACATTAAACTGTGATCTGTGCTTTCTCCTGTGACAAAGCAATGACTGGACAATAATGCTCACAATTCGACAATTTTTCTTTTATGCAGAGTTTCCATGCAGAAGCTAGGGATGCACATGGACTAGCTTCTGCATGGAAATTCTGCATAAAAGAAAAATTTATATAAAAATTCTTAGTCCACATCTGCCTTTATATTTAGATGCATTTTTTGTGTATTTTATTTTATTGTTTTGTTTGGACGAATGTAAAATGTTCAGACATTCCGTTGTTAAAATGTTAAATATTTGAAAAAGTGTTCAAATTCAGTTACACCTGAAGATGGCCTATTGTATTAGGTTGAAAACATTTGTGTTTTGTTTAATAAACATTTCTCAGCAACAGAAGGTGGTATTGATAGTTTATTCAGAATTTAAAAAGCTGAGTTTAACGAAGAACACACCACCTTCTGTTTTCTAACAGTGCCTAAAATTAACCCCATTTACAACGTTATTATTATTTTATATTTATGCCTTTTTTGGCACGTAACAAGAAGAGCCAATTTCTTAGCATTGTAAGAAGACAACACAACTCTAAAACCTTGTACGATACAGACAAATTTATTATCCCAATTCAAACGTTTTCGGACATCTTTAATGCCCTTTTTCAAGAACGAACTAACTACAATCGAACTAACTAAAATCATTGAATTGGGATAATAAATTTGGCTGTATCATACAAGGTTTTAGAGTTGTATTATTTGTTGATATATACAGTCTACGAAGAAATTGTAAGAAGAGGGTGAGAGTTTCGGACGACAAACAGAAATAAATTTTAAATAATTAAAACTCACATTATCTAGCTAAGTTATAACTAAATTTATAGTTATGTACTACTCTATATACAAACCATATACAAACCATAAGTTATAGAGAATGTGAGATAATTTCAATATTATTTTGTGGCACACTAAAGTGCCACGGCATTGTGGTTGAGAATCACTGATATAGGCCTAGATAATGAAAAAAGTTTGCATAAATGTCTTTGCAGGTTACCTGTGGAACCCTAAGGTTCTCCACAGTCCCTATCTCTGCACTATCCTACTAATCTATTAATTACCTAAAGCAGGTGGCCTTCAACCAGGATTCTGCAACAAAACCCTAGGGATTCCACATAATTTGTTTTTAAGTTTGTATGTATATATGTATATGGAAAGATAATTAGATCTAAGACAGAAACTTGAATAGGAATGCCACAAAATAAAATAATAAGTATACCACCACTAAAAATACACTGCTCTAGAGTAGCCACATCAAATGTTACAATAAAAATTCAAGAATTCCTCCGCTTTTGCTTCAGTTTTTCGACATCTATTTTTTCACCTATCTCATCTTTAATTCACCTACAGATTTCAATGAATTAGCCTAAAGAAATTGAAAATAAAGTATAAGAAACAAAATAAATGATTTAATGACATAATTTCTTATTTTTTTAGTTACATTATTAATTCTTCTAATAAAGAAATTCTTTCTTAATAATTTATTTTGAGTCTAGCATTGTTAGTGTTAATAAATTCATACTTTTTTTTTTTAACTCTTTCTGCTCTATGGGCATTAAGAGGGCCTTTTAGTCACATTTATCATGGGTTTAGCCATGCCCTCATTGGAGTGATTAGGTATTGATGGATGGAGCCCAATATATCATGGACGGACCACCCCAAAAGTTTTATTGGGTTTTTTTTTGGCTGCCCGAATTTGATTTCAGGCCCCCAGAGCTATAGACCAATGCCTTAACTGTCTTAGTCATCCAGCCATTAATAAATTCATGTTGTCACTTTAAGGATGATTGTCTATTTTAATGAATAATTATAATTAGAAAGCAAGTTTTTCCTACCTTTCAAAACAATATAATTTAAGTACACAGCTTTGATTGGGTAAATACATTAATTGGGAATAATAATTAGACATTTATGTGGAGTCATTTAATTATTATTAACTGTTATATTATTAAACATAAATATTTAATGATTAAGTGATTTAAAAAATATCCATCATCTTTGATTAATATTTTAATTGAATGCAATTTTTTAAGAAATTAACTAAATTGCAATAAATATTCATTAATGATTTTTAATAATAATGCTACTTGTAAATTTTTGCTGTTGTTGTAACCTTCAGATATTGTTACAATAGAAAAATTATGCTTTTAAACAATGTCTGAAGCTGTGGATACATGAATAATAGCTATTTTACCTGATTATTCAGGTAAAAAATAGATATGACATTTAGTGTTAATTGATAATTAGTAATTATCATTAAGCATTGAATCATTCATTACAACAAGTGATTTAATGACATTAAATATATAAATAACTGTTTGATAATTATGGCTATTGGCATTTAAAATTTAAAAATAACTCTCCCTTTCCTCTAAGCATTTTATTAGCTAGTAACATCATATATGAAATATGCATATAATTTTTTGTATTAGGTATTTGTTAAACGCTTAATTTAGACTATTTCATAATTGTATATACAGGGTCTTCCTATATTAATGCTACCATTTAAAATTAATTATGTTGGTTACTATCTGAGAAGTATGCAACAAACGCCAATTGATAGAGTAATTGTCCGAGTTTTGTCTCCCATCTTCATTCAAATGGCTCATCATCTGCCTCTAAGAAGCGTCATAAATAAAAAATGGAAACTTTGCAACAGAGAAGACATTTTGTGTTTTGTGAAAGTGAAAATCTATTCTAGAAAGTTGGAATCACTCCTCATTGTGCAGCACGAGTAATCTGTAGTAGCCATAGAATTGTGACAGCCGTGGGAGGAGTGATGATGGATATGCTCTATCAAGCACAGGAAGAATTTGAGTATCGGTCAGATGTGTGCCGTACAATGTGAGGTGCATGTGTGAGGTCCTGGACGTGTCCGAACCATTCAAAATTCATGAAAAATTTATTTGGTTTAGAAGGGGGAAAAAAGGAGGAAAAAATTGTTAGCAGCTAGACCTGGATTTAGTTATTTTAAACAACATGATGCAAAGTCATAAATAAGAAAAAGAATGTAAGTTCTAAGATTGACTATCTTCGTTTGGGAGATTGAATTAAACTTCAATTTTGACCTCTCCTGTGATCCAGGTGGGAATGTTGTTTCTCCTAGTAATGAGGAAATGACCACTTGGAGAGTGCAGACAAGAGAAAGCAACCAATCAGAATGGGCAATAGAGGGATGACAATTGATATAATCTCTGGTCTTCAAGGACACTCGAGAGGCAGCGAAGAAGCGGAAATTTTTTGGGAAGTGTTCTTTAAAGAAAGACATGGCACAGCGACAAACACAACACAGTGTGCAGTGGAACAAAGTGCTCAATGCAGAACAGGACATGTGTACCCCGTGTTTCTTTATGCAGTGCTCAAGAAGTGCTTTACAGTGAACACACTGAAACTGGTTTCTAATTGGTCAACACTGCTCGTGACATCATTTCGCTACACTCTCGCTGCATAAAGAAATGTGGGAAAAGACAATTCTTCTTAACTATGTCATTGGATAATTGTGTGTCATCAGAGTGAAACTGTCATCTCTCCTTGTCACTGACTGTTAACCATCTCTCCACCTGTGCACCACCAACCTCGAGACACATCCCAACAAATGATATCTTGCCACCACCCTGGAGCTACATCAGCAACTCTCATCGGAATACAACCATCTGTGAAACAAACCTTTGAACAAGTGTTAACATTCTCAGACGAAACCTGTCATCCACTGTTATAAGCAACGATTTTAGTTTTAAATAAATGGTTTTTTTTAAAGGCGCCTCATATCTGTGCCTCTGCCACCATCACCCACATATGAAGGGGACTCTTAACCATCCAGACATGGAATTTAATGATTCTTCTCTTTAGTTGGCAAACCACACATGCGTCGAGAAATTGTAGTAGGCAAATGTGAAACTTGGATGGTTTTGTGATGTCTTAATGTATGCTATGATGTTGTCAGATAATAATTAACATAATTACAATAATTTAAAATTCTAGTTTTTTTTTCTTTTTGTGGAAGACCCTGTATTTTTAAATTGAAATACCTCAAATTAAAATTTTTTGCACTCTACATATAATAAAATGTTTACACTAAATTTTAAGCACTAAAATATAAAATTTAATTCTTCACATTAATATATCCTGTTTAATCTCTTTATTGTGTATTATACAACTCTTATTTTCTGATTACAGATTTTAAAAATGTACAGTGCTCATCGCTATCGTTATAAAAATGCCGGATTAGATGCTCAAGAATTACGTCGGCGACGTGAAGAAGAAGGAGTTCAGTTGAGGAAACAGAAACGAGAACATGAAGTAAATCAATTTCTTTTTTAAACGTTTGTTGGATAAAGGAAGAAATTACATAGAAATACTTTAAACTTTTTACTTTTATAACCAATATAAATTTCCCGATTTACGAAATGCCGTACTTAAATGTCAAATTTGTTCGTTAGTCATCTCGTGATATATAAAAACTATATTTCCAAGAATAAAAATCTCATTTTACGATAGTTAATTTATAAAAATCATAATTTAAAACAGTTTGTCTAATTATAATTTCCAGGAACCAATTAGGTTGCTAAAGTAAAGTTTTATGATATCAATCTAGATTTTTATGGCTTAAACTTTACTAAAAATGTAAGAAAAATCTATAATAAACAAGCTATTCATTAAAATTTGAGAATTTTAGAAAGTTAATATATAATTTAGGCCCCATCATGATGTGGCCTAAAAAAAAGACACCAAGAGGATCTCTTTTCCATAATCATCATGGTTTCAGCCACAATGGGATAGCAAGGATTGACATTTGCGGAACACACCACTTCCCAAAAAATTTCTTGCAACACTTACATGGATTTGATCCTCGGTCCTCGGAAGAGTGGTAGGCCAAGGTTTAACTGCCTCAGATATCTTGTCATCAAAATGTATTTTTAATTTGAATATATGGCATTTATTTAACATATATAATACATAAATGTCCAATCTTAATTTGATTCTAACTTAAACATCAGTTAAATGAAACCAAGATATACTAATGATTTTATTCGTCAGGAAATCACAAAAATTGATACAAAATACGTGTAATATTTATTTCAGAAATGTTAAAATGGAATTCTTTCTTATTAGTTGTGTAAAAGAAGGAATCTCAGTTCACCAAATGAACCTATTCAAGATGCAGAAATTACATCTACTATGATAGAAGATATTCCTGGATCAGCAGTACTTGTGAGTAAACAATTCATTTTATTTAAATACATATTAATTTTAATATTCTGAAGATTATTTTTGTAAAATGTTTTCATTACATTGTTATATTTATACATTTAAAAATGCTTATCTTGCAATTAACAGCAACTTCTCCATCTATTTATTCATCAAATGTTATTTCCTATAATAATTAAATTATAAAAATTACATTCAATAGATTGTGTGATCCAAAGTGCTTTGACAAAGCAGCTATTTGTGAATAAATATCAATTTACAAATGGCTGGTAAATGTATTAACAAATTTGCATACATAAGCATAAAAAAAATTAAGAAAATTTTATATTCGGTGTCAAAAGACTTATGGCTCACCCAGTAAAGTTAAAATATATTGCTTCCTAAACTTAATTTTTTCTATAATTTTTAACATCTAAAGAAATATTTCACTGTTTAGACTATCATAACACCTGAAATGGTTGCTGCATTGTACACTGATGTTATTGAAGAACAGTTAAATGCCACCCAGAAATTTAGAAAATTGCTATCCAGAGGTTTGTATGGTTAAATATCTCGCTTAAAATAGTTTCAATTAATAATTCTGTTGATTTATTGAAAGATATATAGGAAATCTCCCTTATCTGGGAGAGAAATACGGAAAATGACTAACATATAAATTCAAATTTTAACATCTTACATGTTATATTTTTATTTAATTTCTATATATAAATATTAATGTATATAGTATATTAATGTTAGAAGGAGATGTAAAGTTGAATTATCTTTTCAACATTCAGAATGATTTTATCTCATAATTTTAATAGTTGATTATTACATGATAAATTTAATTCTTTCTATTATCCAATGAATTAATCTATTTATTAGTGTATGACTAAATACTTTCCTGAAATTAGTTAAGAGCTAGTGGTCATAGCAGTTAAGGAAAATACATAAATTAACATTATTTACTCTCATTTATTATTATATGATTAACCCTCTTTTATTGAAGTTAGAAATTTTTGCTGTTTTGTTCATAATTATTTTGAATTTTAAAAGTTAATTTCATGTAATTACACATTAAAAATAAAGCTATTAATGTATAAAATAATGTTACATATTAAATAATGTATAAAATCAGGGGAAAAAGTTTTATTAAGATTAAAGATCTTGAGATAGAATGTTTTATATACATGTCTAGTTTGTATACTTTTACAAACTCTTAATTTATTTAAAATATATAAACCATATTAAAAACTAATTTTGCATTTAATTCTGATATAATATAAGCTGGAAAATAAAATGGAACTTTTATTTTGAATATTTCCATTGCTTTATTTTATCATTTTATAAAGGACTCTAAAAATGAATTTAAATAGCATGTAATTAATTTAAAAGTTTCTAATTTGATAGGAATATAATATAAATATGTTGGCAGTTTAACTTCTGTTCAGAATTTCAATAACAGCAATGGAACTGCATATGTTACATATTCTAAATATTTGTTTCTTTCTTTAGGCATTTCCTCTCCACATTCTTCTGACATTTCTGTATTGTTTTGGCAATGATGTTATATCTGAAGAAGTATTTCGGCTGATGTTGGAGTTACTACAACACAAACACTCTGACTTTAGTGTTCTGGTGAATCTCCTGTTTCCCAAGGCTTCTTTTTAACACGTTAACCGCCATACAACATGCTGGTGGTCGTACTAATTACAGCTGTACAGAGTCATAAATTCGCCGGCGGTCGTAGTAATTAGGGCCGTTCAGAGCCATAAGATGCACTGGCGGTCAGAGCCAACTTTATAGATGTGCGCGAGAGGCCATCACTAGGATGTAAAACAATGTCTTACGAAGCTAGGATAATTTAACCTTGAGTGAAACTACATTGGTTATTGTAACATTGGGCGGTCGGATGGCTTTGTACAGCCCTAATTAGTACGACTGCTGGTACATTGGATGGCTGTTAACGTGTTAAAGGGCCAAACAGGCGATAATTGCATTTTGACAGATATGGTTGTTTGGTTGGTGCCATACTTTGACACCAACCAAAAGACAATACATTGCATAAGCCTTGTTGCCAAAATAATTCAGAAGTGTCAGTATTGAGAGGGAATATCTAGAGAAAGAAACAAATTATGACTATGTAACACAGTTTCATTGCAAGTACTGAAATTCTGAACGGAAGTTGAACTGCCCTTGTACAATCAAATATAAAATTTATAGATGATGAATTGAAAAAAATTATATAAGTAATGATGATGATAATTCTACTTTTAATAAATTATAATTTATTTATAGAATATTATTAATGAAAAGTTAAATATATAGTAGATTAAAAGTAAGCAAATGTATGTGATAAAATTTTTAATTTAATTTAATAAATATGATTACCATAATAATAGCAAAATAATGAAATACATTGTTTAAACACACTAACTTTAAGAACATTAACAATAATTAACATTAATCTTGGTGGTGGTAAATATATAATTGATAATTAATACATTTTAATAAATTTGTAATTTAAAAAAATTATTTTTACTTATAAATATTATTTGTATATTTTAAGATTGTGGATGCAGAAATATTTTTGATTATTACTGTTGAAATGCTGTATCTTTGACTTTTTCAGAACCGAATCCTCCGATTGACGAAGTTATACAGACGGGAATCATTCCGAAATTTGTTGAATTTTTACAAAAAAATGACAATTGTACATTACAGGTAAGATAAAATATATTTTTAATTCTAGAACATGGGCTGACCACAAAATTTTTCTTATCTGATGGTCCAGAATCTACAAGACCCATCAGTGGCCTAGTGAAATAAACCATTGAAAACTGGTAGTTGATAATGGGTTTGTGCTTCACCAACAGGCTGTCCACATGGGAGTTTTTGAAGTTTACTTCATGTGTTTAACACTAAATAGGAGTCAGTTTCCTATCAAAAGTTTCAGAAGTCATCCACCTTGGCAGATCGCTTGTGTGTTTGCATTTCTCTTTCATCAAACCAACCAAATAAATCAACTTTAAAAACATGTAAATTATCAAAGATTTATGATATAAATTTGAAAAGTAAAATGAAACTTTGTTTCGAGTATTTCCAATGCTTTCATTATTATTATACTAGTCCACTGGATGGCCAAAGATGAGTGTGTGTTCACTTAGATTGTCTACGACAATAAGATTCTTTTATTGTTGTCAACAACTCAACAACAACTGTTGATGGTTCTTCTATTTTATTCAACTTTTACCTCAGTTTATTTTAATATTAGTTAGGATTAAATGTAAAAAAAGATGCAAATGTCACTTAGTGTAAACATCTCGTATTTAATATATGTTTAATTCAAGTTTCTGGCAGTTCATAATGTTTTAGAAATATAAAAGATATATAATTAGTGTTATACTGACTATACTGACATTCAGAGTATACTGTTAATTTATTATGTGACTTTGGCTGGGCCAGAAAAACTATTAATTAAGCAAAACTATGAAACCAGGTGTGCTCAAAGCTTTATACAAGGTTTTGCTGTATATTAATTCAATGTTAATGTTATATATATATATTATACAATTAATAATTTTATATTATTTGCAAAAGAAATTCTTTTGAGATACAGTTATATTTTGTTTATTTAATCAAATAAAAATTCAGTTCTCTATGTTTTTTTTCTTTTAATAACTTTTGAATTATTTGTTTTTGGAAAATCTGCTTTGTTTCTTACCATTGATTTTAAATATTATTAAATTTGAATTGCGTAACAGAAAGGTATAGATTTTTAAAAATTTAATATGAGGTCTCAAAATTTTTTATTTAACTAGTTTATATGGAATTAAAATCTGGAAGAATTTAAAGTATTTTGAAGTTGAAAAATTGCTTTAAAAAATATTTTCTAACTTCAAATTATTTGATCTTGGACCAGCTAAATTATTTGGTGAAACTTAAATCCTTGAGGTCAGTTTACAGTCCAGTAGCAGTTTGGTACTACGACAGTGGAGTTTGAAGGGATATGAAGAAACTGTATATGCTCATGTCTGATCTAGTGACACAACTTCAAAGTTGAATGATGTTCAACTTTAATGTTTGAGATCAACTGTGTCAAGTTAGCCACTATCCACAGTTTGATGATAAATCAGATGATCTTTCCAACTCCAGCTGCAGTTAGCAACCTCAAAATTCCATGCTGACATTGGATTATAAAGCAATCTTTATAGTAGCATTTTGTAATTTGAAATACCTATTTTGAGATTTAAATCTTCATATTCTAAGTTAATCTTAAAAGACAATATTCTGATTTACTATCTGATAGGAGAAATACTTTTACATATAATTATAAATATAGCAGACTGCCTTCATGATCTGATTTGGTTTCTGAAAGCCATCATAGAGCAACCTGTCATATGTTTTATATAAGGTCAGTGTCATATATTGAAGTTATCTTGCTGAAAATACCATATTTTTATTTTTAATTATCACAGAAAATTTATAGTAGCCATAAGGTGAAGCATAACACAGACACAACAATAATAATAAAAAAAAGTAATTTAAAAGAATTGTCAATTTAAATAGTAGTAATTATAAAGAATATTCATATGTACAGGTGTACTGCAGGTTACACCTGTAGGTACACCTGTACATACAAACACAATAAACAAACCACAGATACAATCATTGTATATTTCTACTCCTACTACAATTTGATTTCGCTATTCTCATCAATACGATCCATTCTTTGTCCATTCCTGGTATTGCTATCTGTTTTTGTGTTGTGTGTCTGGGTATCCAGGTGGTGAAAACCAAAAATGTGTGCGAGTTTTAAGAAAAGTTGACAAATCATCAATAATTAGTTATTTTTTAATGATATAGCTAATTATATAACCGATGAACAGTTTGATAATTTAATTAGTAAGTCATTTATAATAACATTCCAGAGTAGAAGTCCAGATACTGGGCCTTAAAATCCTCTTTTATTTAGGGAACAGGTTTTTTTTTCTTAAAAAAAATCCAATTTTGATCTTATCTGTTTTGTCTTTTAAGAAATCCTTGATCAAGTAGAAAATATTTTGTGGTACTTTGGTATCTCTGGTAAGTTTTAAAATTGAGGGCCACCAGACATTGTCAAATATGCCTTTGATATCAAGAGAGATATCAATCTCTTCTTTCCTTGCTGTAGAGTATCATACAATATAACAAGGGCATCCACTGCAGAACACTGGGGCATGAAACAATATTGGTCATTGCTCAAAAACTTTCCATGAGGTGAAATGTTTCTTTAAATAAAAAAGATGCATGGGAAATGGTAATTCATGATACAATCATTCACAATACATCTACTACTTAATGGAACATGTTATGTATGTACACCTGTAGTTACTTTCACAAATTAATTTTTTCACAACTTTATAGCAATTTTCATTGTTAAATTGTTTTTTTTTTTTTCTTTTCAGTTTGAAGCGGCTTGGGCTCTTACTAATATTGCTTCTGGTACGTCGCTTCAGACAAGAATTGTTATCGAAGCAGGAGCTGTACCCATATTTATCCGTCTACTCGATTCCGAATATGAAGATGTACAAGAACAGGTACATTTGTTAATAAATATTAGATAGGATGCCATTTTGCTTGATACGCCAGCAATGTTTGACAAACGAAATTGGGTCGGCTTGAAGCACATTTGAATGCCAAACACAAGAACTATATTAATTCAGATTTAAGTTTCTTCAAAACATTAAAGGAAAAGTTCGAGAAAAGGACGACAATTACTTCAATCTTTACGTCTAGAAATGTAACAAATAGTCGTATTCAAGAGGCTAGTTACCAAATTTCATTGTTAATTGCTAAATCAGGGAAAAGCCACACAATAGGGGAGAATCTTATAAAGCCCTCAATTTCTGCTTTTATGAAAACTGTTCTAGAAAAAGATGACGAGGATGTAAAAGCGATGCCTCTCAGTAACAATACTGTCAGCCGAAGGATCGACGAGATGGGTGAAGACATTGAGAAACAACTCGTATCGAAACTAAAAACCAGAAATTTCTCTGTGCAGATGGACGAGTCAACCCTAAGAGACAGTGAGGCCGTTCTTATCACTTATGTCAGGTATATTGAACGTGGACAGTTTGC